TATAATATATGATCAAATGTATGCACAATCATTACATAATATTATCATCATAATAATATATGGAAAATCGTCTCGAGATACCCGGAGACAGCCCACGCATATCATTCTCATCTAATGCGGTTTTCCGCGAACACATCATTATAATAATATTCTGCAAACGTGTCTCTCTTCTGAGTGTCGGTAGTGTAATAGAATAGGACACTTTGCTAAACATTGCCGGCAAATTCGATTTGTTCACAGCTAGCTCGTTAACGCGGCCCAACCGACAATACATCTCGAGTGGAAATTGAATTTCCAGCTAAACCCCAGGGGGGGGGGGGGTTGCAGTTACCCAGAAATAAAACCATTTTAAAATTCGGTTATACTTACAGTATATATAAAGGCACAAGGACCGTCGAGCAGAAACCGCAGAATATACAAAAGCAAGAGTCGCTTTCACAATAGATTTGTTCGTTTCGGTGTTGCTCGTTATCACGCATTTCTTATCAACTAATATGGACTAATTTTTATAACCAATTCTATAAATAAACAACTATCATTTGATTAATCTACACCAAAAACGTTTATTTTGAAATACCACGCCTGACTTACACTTGACCGAGACACTACACTAATTAATGTTTTTTTTTTTCAAAACGAACAAAGCTAATGTAAACAAAAAAATGCCGGCCATGTTGTAACGACCAGACATTGACGTTATCTCACTTTTTCTTATCTATTTTTTGGTATTATCAGCCGTTGAAAATATTATTCTTATAACGGTTAGTATTTTATAATAACACATATATATTTGTTTAAATTGGTTAATTGCTAATTATTATGCGTGCGCGTGTGTTAAATACAATTGCGACAAAGTATCCACAAATTATACACCTAAACCAACTATAGTGACACTCTCTTGTATTCTATTTTTTTTGTTTTTCGAAAATGGTCACCTTGCGCGCCGTCGCAAGACAATGGCCGTCGCGTTTTTTTATTCTGTGATAACAATCTTGTCCGTGTTAACTGTTATCAGTGTCCGCCGAAACCGTGGAAAATGACAACAGACCGAGACAAAGCTTTACAACAATACAATCTCACATAAGTCTAGCAGTCGAGCACTTTCAATTGCAAGAGGAACGTCTTGAGTTCGGAGGATTTAACAAGGTAAGAAACAAGATTATTAATTCATCTACCCCCAAACGGGGTCGGCGAACGCTTTGTCTCCTTTGGAAAGCAAACAAAGGTATTTTATCTTGTTATTATTCTCTCTTTGGATGGCGTTTTTCAACGAAACAAATCGCATCAGACAAATCCCTAAACAAGTCCCCTTTGGAGGTCTGAGCAAATATCGTGCTAACCGTGCGCCATCATCTTTCCAACATCTTAAGCACAACCGGGTCGAGTGTTTGTCCATTGTGTACTACCGCACACCATACCCTATATTATATTGTTATGTACGATTTATATGCCCCGTTATTATTCAACGGAAACACCGTGAAATGGAACATAATGGACACGCGATGAGATTTGTATTGTATTACAACCCTCTTCTTTGCGGTAAAAGAAAAACTCTTGACGAATTGAGGCAACTGGAAAAAGGTATTGTACCCAAAAACGATGGATCAGGCTGTGTTGCTCATAATGCATGTACATTTATATCCGGAAATAGTGTACATTTTTAGACGTGAAATTCATCATATTTCTTTTTTTTGGAAACCATCCTACTGTTGGCAGAAATTGCATGGATAACTTTCCCACACATCAGTTGTAGAGTATATATACACAATTTATTGGTAAAAACCGCCTTATGTATAATTTATAAATTTTTTTTTATCAATCCTCATTTGTGTATTCAAGTAGGCAAAATAATTAATTGAAACATAGAAATTGAGTGCAAGACTAAAACGGGTCTGTTCAACAGAGACAAAATAAGTGTAATTTTATATTTTATTTAAAACTCAACGTTTGCCCACATCTATGTATATATTTGTAAGTACATTTTTGGGTTGCACAAACTCGATTTGACACACTCGATTATTATGTCAGGTGTATTTTTATTAAAAGAAAATTAAATTACAATGCCTTTCAGTAAAGTGAAATGAATTTAAATTTTTGCTTTTAGCTGCGACGCTCAGAAACTGTGATGGCTTTTTTAATCTCATCAAATATTACAGTTGTAACAAGATTTTGACAGCCGTTAAAAGTAAGTTTAATATGCAATGTCAAAATTCGTTTTCGGCTTTCATGTTTTTTTTAAAAAGAAAATTGACAAAAAAAAACCCCCCAAATAACAAACCTTACAATGAGGGAAATGGCGTTCGTAAAAATTCATTCGACACCTGCCGCAATCTTAATGGCTCATTAAGTCTACTTAAAATAATGTAAATTAAAACAATTAAAAGTGTTTTACACGGTGTACAAGTAGCTTGTATAAGCTATCTGCAAAAGTAAATAATTTAGATAGACCTCCTTCAAGGACGGGCCAAACTTAACGTCTTGGGTTTTTATTCGGCAATACTTCTTAATCTTAATCGTCGCCAAGCAAGTTAGGGCGACCGCAATTAGTCTAATTATCTAGTCTAATTACACTAAGTACACGGGCAAATATTTGGCACCGACTCATACAATATGTTTGAGATGTGTTATTAATTGCCAGTGAACTAGTTGTATCTTATCGCAACGTCATAAAGATGCATATTGCAGGGTGCACTTACCATGTGCTCGGATAGTAGATAGTTGTATTGGTTTTATTTAAATAATTTTACACCTTGAAAATAGACAAAAAAAAAAAATATATACTGTCCTTCCTGTTGAATTTCGTTTTAAATATTAATAGTCAACATAAAGATATCTCAATGCATTACAAAAGTCACAAACAAATAGTTGAATTGTACCTAATCTTACAAATTAAATATTTACCTATTCACAAGCGATACCGTGTGCTTGTTTACAACTTCTTATGTTTAAGTATTAAATTTTACTACCCAAACTGAAATTTTTGGAAAATTATAATATACATCATTTTTTTTCTAAAAATATTGTAGCAGACAGTTGGAAATATGTACTTGTTGTAAATAACCCTTGACACACACTACCATGGATTTTTTTCATCATAACATAATATTATTATTAATCAAATTCTGTATATTACCTTTAAAAAACCAATCAGAAAGTCCAAGTCGGATATCAGCTAAACATTTCAGCTACTGTTTTTGTTTTAAAAACAAATGTATTGTTAAATGATAGTCAACAAAATAATTGTTTTATTGTAATGTAAAGTAGTGAAATGGACATGATTTGTGTACCATGCAAAATATACTGTATAAAATTAAAATTAAAAAAAAAAGTCTAATTAAGTTTCTAACTAAAAAAAACACTTATTTTGTTTAATCATAAAATATATTACTCTATAAAACTGAATATATTATAATAGGTTGGCCAAAGTATGACCAAAACAAATTATTTAGTTAAATGAATCACGAACTCCGCTGTTTAGTTACATGCCAAAATATGAAATGTAATTTTAAAAAAATAATTTTAATATGCATACAATATATTTTCGTCGCCGAGTTCTGATTAAAACAGATTTCAAAGCGTTTAAAAATGTTCATTTAAATATTCTCAGAATCCTCCAGAAGAGTGAAGCGAAGTAATTGTATTATAATTATTATTAGCAAAGATGTAAAGCAACGTTGGTAAACGTTATGGAAATTTTACCCCGAAAATCTTCAATCATTATACTGTTTAAGCGTTCAAGACGGATTTGAATAATAATAATTATCATAAACTGTTTGATTATTCAAAACTCAGACTCAGATACTGATTGTAATAATAATTAGTTTTAGAGTTTCAGATTATATAGCTCGGGGCACATCGTTTTAACCCGTTTTGTAATTAAAATTTCCAAAATAATTATCAACCCTTTGGGTATGGTTGAAACGTTGGTTAGTGACAATTGTATAACCTGACGTTTCACGATAACAAAGTTAGGCTCTTCAAGTCTAAAACTAATGGTTTTTTTAATTATTTAGTTTATGCCATTTAGAGTAAGTGTCACTAACTACGAATACATAGATGATACGAACATAGGTTTATATTTGTCTGTTGTGGAAATATTACTTCTCAGTTCCGCACCGATGCTAAAATATCTTTATTCGCAAAAACATATCATTACTATAATATTAAAAGTTCATTTGAGTCGTAGATCTTGGCAAAATTTACTTATACCGAACCTCATGGAAAATTATAAAATATGAAATCAGAAAGGACACTTTCAATGTAAACAAAAACGTGGCGGCCATGTTCGTGCAAACCTGGTACATAATCATAATAAATAAACGACTAAAAATAATAATGTATAGATATAATTTCTGCATGGCCGCCAAGTTTTGTATGATAAGGATCTCGGCCGTGTTATCACTGTCCGCACGGGATCCACCCTAACCGTGCCAGATCCGCGCCGGGTGCCACCGGAGATAATTATGGCCGGAATCTCTTATGGCACGCGCCGGCGCTTGACCCACAAACGCGTGCCACATTCCAATAATATGGTTCTTCGGACGACGTTAGATGATAACGCGGGTGCATTGTAAAACGTGCATCACGACACCGATATATTATTATACCTATATATGTATTAATATATAGTTGTCAAACCATTATCAATCTATATATATAATATGACATCCGCGGTACCTATCGCGTGAACCCGTGTAATGCACATAACGTAATAACATAATAATATTATTATGGTAGTGATATGTGTGTGTGTGTGTGTGTGTGCGTTAACCTTACGCGGTCGTCGTTCAAGGCTGTCCGCCGGCATGTAGTGTAGTGGCACCGGACCCGCGTGTCGCATATATAACGCTGGCGCCGTCGATCCTGTGCGTCCGCTGTCCGTCCACAAGAGTCTCGTCCTCTCCATATTCTTGCTACACGACCCGAAACAGCCGCCGCCGCCGTCCGCCGCCGCGTCGCCGCACACGCTCGCACAGCCGCCAAAACCCGTTCGACCGCCGACATGCGCCCAACGACGACGCTCTTGGTGGCCGCGTTCCTAGCCGCCGTGGCACGCGTCACGGACGCCGCCTTCGCGTGGGTCAGTATATAATATAATATAATATTATTATTGTAAGACAATTTTCTTTTTTCAACGGTTAAGGCGGCTTTTATCTCTTCGAAACAGCCGATTTCACCGATATTTCTTTAGGATTTAACTCGTTAAACTACCTAACTTTGTTAGTGAAAATTTCAGTTATCAGCTATCGCATTTCGCGTGATAGCCAATGAGAACGTCGGAATCGAGGTAACCGCTTTGGTAACAGCTTTGGTAAAATCTCGGTCAACTTAATAAATAGAATTTAACAATAATAATGTCGTGGTAAAAATTGATAATCATCAATCGTTATGTCAAGAGTGTGTATATTATTTATATCATAGTTTGTGAAACCGGCTGAAGATAATGTGTTTACTTTCCAGCCCCAACTGCCGCAGTTTGACTTTGTGCAAGACGCCGTGCCGGACACTGTGCCGTCCGTCAAGTACTGTTCGTCGTGCGGTAAGTCTCCTTTAATTAATATCTCTAATGTTATTTGAATTTTCTTTAAATTTTCTCGACGAGACTAAAGGATTTTCCATAGCGCGTTTGTATTTTTCATATTATTATATTACAACCGTTCAAAATCGGATTTCGCCCACATCGCGGTTTAATCGACCGGAACGTCTTCGGCAACCTTAACCCAAAAACGATTACCACTAATTGCCCGCGACGTCTGAGTACAATATATATATATATATATTATCATGCTATGTCCGGTCACGTTATTATAATTATTACTACACACGAGTATTGTACAATCATTATTACAATTATAACGTTATTTCAACAAAAAGTAGCTAAATATTTCTCGTCCGAACCGAAATACATATTTTTATCACTATACATATATATAGTGCGTGGCTTCTTTCACCCGTGTGAAGAATACCACCCATCAGTCGTTTTTTTGGTAATCTATCATTCGTTCAATGTGAGACTGAAAAGCATTAAAGTTTCTCGATATAGTTGAACGTTTTTTGGCGATTGTAAAATAACTTTCTTCTTCGCCTTGCTTTTGGTTACTATAATCGTTTTTTCCTTAGATAGCTTTAAACAAAAACAAATGTAAGCAAGTCTTCTTTTACAAAAAACACTATAAAAACCGAGTCGAGTTTGGTCCTGGGTGTACACACATGGTTCACACAACCTTAGATATTTTAACTGCCAATATTGGGTTTTGTCTTGAAATTCACTATTCGACGATGGGTTTCTGATTATTGCGGTTTATTGTAATATTAATCTAAACAATTAAACGGTAACGTTTTATTGTTGCAACCGTCGTTTATCGTCTTCCCGTATCTTGTCGTCGGCACTCGCTAATTGCCCAGTTAACCCATGAATACTAATCACATGTGTATACATTATTGTGTTGCTTTGTTTTCGCATAAACGAAAGTTGGGTGTGGTGGGCTTATCAGACACATTCACACAGGTAGGTATGAATATCAAGAGCATATATTATATATTTTAATAAGTTTTGTCCGTACAAACTGTCGGTGTTGTTTCTCTGTTGGACCGCTGCTAGTATACACTGGGTGTCAGCTAATAGATGTATGATAATATATGGCAGTACAATTACCGCTTTCCGGCATTTGGCTTGCATAATCCCCGGTCGAAGAGAAAGAAAGAATATTCAATTATAATTGTTATTACACTTGTGTTGTTGCGCAACGGCTGTCGTCGAATTTGCCGGTACCAGTTTGGAATGCGTTTAACCGAACACACTAATAGACGGTTATCGATTGCTGCTGCACGGTCTTGGGTTATCTTAAGTGTAATATATTGTTATAGAAAATGCATTTATCCGGTTATTCCAGCAGGTATACCTACTATTATTATTCACTCAGCTCGGGGACGTGTCTAAATGCAAATGCTCTCAAATCTATGGACGGCATCTAAAGTGCTTTAGACAAATATATTTCTTAATACGGGGCCCCCCTAAACCGCTATTAAAATCCGACTGAAAATTATCACATTCAATAATTATTATCCAGTGCCTTAAACTCGGTCGACGATAATGGTAATAAGTTAGAAACCGCTCCTTGACACAGACCATCTTGTGTGACTCTCCTACATAGGTATTTAACTTAGATAGCATTGACTGCATTACCGTCGTCGTCGTTGTTGTTGTTTGGAAACGTCTCGTTTTAGCATATGCAAACACTTTTTGATGCTAATTTTGTTTTGTTTTTCTACTCTGTGAAACTTTTATGGAAGAAATGCGCTAAAAAAAAAACAATAATAACGTTACACGTGACCCAAACGAATCGTTATTTGCATTTTGTCGTTCATGGAAGATTGAACAGTTAGCTTACACATCCAATCAACGACCTATTATAACGATTGGCAATCAATCGTAGCCTAGTTTTTGTTGTAAACACTTTGAACGTAATTGGGAAAAACATAAGAGGCAGTTTCCGAGTTTACTACAAAAGGGGGGGGGGGTGGAATTTGCTGAATTTGGGAAGCAACTGATATGATGAGATGCAACTACTATTCGGTAGTTCAATGAAAATTATAAATTTAAAAAAAAAATAGTAAACATTATTATAGTTTTCGACATCGTCAAACCTACTCTATGTCGATCCCGCCTTGAACTTAAAAACGAACCTAGACCTCGACTACGACAGCGCAGATACTCGAGAAGGTTGATATACAATATGTATGTATACATGTATAATAGATAGATCATAAAGAACGGTTTTTTTTCCTAAGACAATAACGGTACACGTTATTATTATTGGCATTACAAATGTATTGTTTTAAAAAACACACAACAACAATAATAATTGCAATGTTTGGTGGTCTTCGCGGCACAGCAGTAGAGTGCTGTAACCTGTGTGTATATTATGTTCAATTGATGACTGTCAACATATTTTATAATCTCTACTGATCCATATTTTCAGCAAAACCGTGTGGCACTCAACCCGAGGATAAACGATCGTTGTTTGCCAAGATCGTCAACGGCAAGGACGCGCGGGAGAACGAATTCGGTTGGGCTGCTACTTTGGCCAGACGAGGCCAGTTCTATTGTGGCGGCACTTTGATCACCAAAAAACATGTGCTTACCGCAGCACACTGTGTCGAATCGTAAGTATAAGTACACAAGTATCGCCAAGACCCTGTGCTTGAATTGGAAAGAAAAACAATGGGTATACCCCTCAACCAATCTAGTTTAACTCTTTACATACTGATCTGGTTTGCAGACAGTTGAATAGCAAGTCCAACACACATAGCATCGCATCAGTGTTTACTAACGTCACTTACAGCTGACTGTTGTGTTTGTTCACAGTTTCAATGCCAAAGATCTGACCGTGACCATTGGCGAGCACGACCGGAAGACGGACAGCAGTCGGAAGTCGGTTCACCGCGTTGCCAACATCCACCGGCACCAGGACTTCCGGTTGAGCACTTTCGACAACGACATAGCCGTCGTGGAACTCAAAGAACCCGTCCACGTCGAGAACCCTTGGGTTCGCCTTGCTTGCTTGCCGACCACTTGTAAGTTCAGCTCTTCTCACAAACCTGTGAATAACCTAGTGTGTCACAAATATGTTTTTTTTCTTCCTTCCGCAGCCGACGTATCGTACGAAGGGTCCAAAGGAACAGTCATCGGATGGGGTAGACTGGGCGAACGCAAAAAGTCGTCGAATATTCTGCAAAAGGTGGACGTGCCAATTATATCCAACGAGAACTGCAAGGAAATGGGATACGCGGCAGAGAAAATCACAGAGAACATGATTTGCGCGGGCTACAAAGAAGGCCAGCAAGACGCTTGCCAAGTAAGTCCTTAACGAAATTGGTCCACAGTAGGTGAAATCCAATCGAGATCAATCCAAACTCTCAAATCCTGAGGAGATAACTGCACCGAGTTCTGACTTGTGGAAACGTTTGGCATAGCCAAAGACAGAATAATACATAAGCAAATCCAACGGCTAGCTTATGTTTGAAATCCACCTGAAAAACTAACTACAAAAAGACGGCTTCAAGCCGCGTTCCACGTGCATTGATTATCTATAGTATATTTAATCTATGATATAATATTTTAAATGAATGTATATCCACGTTTCGTGTCTTGGACTTTCTTTACACCGAATCCTCAATTGATAGATTAACCCCTGTAATTGCTGTGCCGGTCTACCTGTTGACTCTATTTTGTTTTTTTTCAACAACAGGGCGATAGCGGTGGACCTATGCACAGACACATGGATTCGTCCAACGTCTTGGAAGTGATCGGTATCGTGTCTTGGGGCAAAGGTTGTGCCAGGGAAAACTATCCCGGGGTTTACACCAGAGTGGCCAACTACTTGGACTGGATTATGGATCACACGGGCGAAGAGTGCATATGCGGTTCGCCGGCCGGCCAATCCGAAGAAAATTACTAGACACCACAACCCAGACAAGTGCATATTTATATCTTAATTATTAGCCGTTTAAGCATTAGCATACACCACACGTTGAACATTACCACCGATTGCCAATTTACACGGTAAATTCTAGTCAACAAACGTATAATATCTTAATCATAATATTACCATAAGTGTACATAGTATTATACATACTTAATTATTGCTGTCTAGAGTATATTAAAAAAAAAAACCGGCTATTTATACTTTATTCTGTCTGTGAACAAAACCGTACCAAATACCTCATATTTTTTTTTTTAGATAACTTCACAACTACTAGCTACTTAATAGTATATACTATCTATACCTATGTGTTTATAATAAGTAAATATGGACATAAGATTTATATATATACTTTTTATTTATTTTGAAAGTAACGTTTCACTCTGACTAAAATGTTGCAAGTAATCCAACGGTCTTCTATAGGCGTTGCGTTTACACATTTGATCTTTTCTTTCTCTTTTTTTTTTCTCATCACAAATCCGTCGCTCAGCGGGTGAATATAAAAAAGTTATCTATCCGTCGATCTCGGTTTCTATTCTAATTAATTGCACGTTAAAAATAACCCCAAACCCTACTGGATGGGTTTAATAATTTATTGTCTTCCTTTGAAAAGTTTCTTAAAAAAAAAATGTACATAAGAAACACAAATTAATCGTTTAAGCTCACGACCATAATATTGTTAATTTATCATACTGAACAATTTTTATTGCTGTTATTGTAATTTATAAGTTACCCAATATTTGACAAAATATTATTATTATAGTTGTATTTATATTTTAAGTTTCAACCGTAACAACACGGTGTAATCGCGTTATGAATGTTATATAATTGTAAATTACCATTAAGTTAATGTTACTCAAAAATCAATTACAATTTACATTAAAGCGTTTATGAATAAAAAAATTACAAACTAAAAAACGAGTGGAAATTATTTATTAGCTTAAGGTAACCACCAATTAGATAAAAACAGGTCTTATTTACATAAGTATTAACCAAATATTGATAAATTTTAAACATGTCGTAACGAAAATATTGCAACTTAAATCTAGTTTTGTCCAAAGTAAAGTACACACACTTGTAATCTATAATGTAGAATATAAAACAAGTCGCATTGAGAAAAACACATGTAAAATAAATCCACTTTTTTAATAACTGTTTTTATTAATTTGCATTAATGTATCAAAATAAAAAATTTTAAAAAGCCTTCTTCAACAATACCTTGTCAGGATAATATTATCATGTTAAAATAGGACTTTAGATAAAATATTATTCTGGTTTTATGAGTTACCACCACGGTTATAGATAAACGGTTTATCTATAACCGTGGTTACCACTGATGGACAACCCCATTTTATCTCTTATCTCTTATCAGATAAATCATCAGACATTTTTGTTTGGTAAAAAACTGTCGATTTTTGGTGTGCCAAAGTAAAGACATAAAATGTGAATAATTATGTCTGATTTTAGCGACAAATTATGAATCCAAAACCTACTATATGTAAACGATCATAAAATACAATATGATAGAGCGCACAGGTAATGAAAACGCGACAGGAAATCATTATCCCCGAACACCGGATATCCCGTGTAATAATTGTAAAATACGAGACTTAGGGGAACACGACCGAAAGGGATGATGATCAAGGCATATTAGATTTAATAATAAATAACCGTCTTGAGTGCCGGCCGCCGTAGACAATGAACTAATATTTCACATGTACGTTGTGGAATTATTTTCAACGGCCATTTGAAATTGCCCATTTATTATTGACCAGTAGTAATTCCGAGTTGGCTCATAATTCATATAATATATATATATTTAATCGGCTTTATTAAACGAATTACTCGGTTAATGTATCTGTCCAAAGATAAACCACACACACACACACATTATGTATTTATATTATTTGGGCCCTTAGCCTTTGCGCTTTTCCCCCAGTAGACTAGTAATCATTTGAAATATTAATCAAACAACAATAACGAATTAGATAAATGGCGGTAGACGTTAGAAGTAGAAATACAGACACATTTTTTTTTGGTTTGGGATGGAGAAAACTAGAACAGCTAAGAAGATTATTATTGTAATGATATTTTCAATCCATATTATTATTTTGATAAAAAAAAAAAAAGAAAACCGATTTTTCTTCAATACGGCATTACGAGGGTTGAATATTTTATTAACAATATCGGATCCGAGGCATTACTATAATATCATTATTATTAGCATAGTCTTGGAATAGCTGTATTTCGACTTAAGACGTTATCGTACAAAATAATATTATCGGGAAAACCCATTACCGAGAAAAAAGGACCCTTTTCGAGGATTTTTAAAAACGGTAGAAAATATAAATCCTATTATTTAGCTTATTTATTTTTATTATACACCGTCCGCGCGTTATGTTAAGTCGCTGCCGGCTTAAATCTCTTTGCTAATACAAAATCATAATGTCCAGCAATAATTTCAAGCTTATCTTATCTGACCCATTTCCAGTAGCTCTTAGTTACTGCGCAGTCAAAGTTTTATTAAACAGAGTATTTTCTTGAAAGAAATTAACATTACTCTCTAAAAAGCATTGCTTATTCGAACAAAAATTCAATAGAATAAATATTCACTACTCAGTAAAAAAGCGTTCCTTAACAGTAAATATTATAAAGATGTAACTTACAGCTGTTAATGAGACTTTAATGTACAAAATATATTGTGTCGATTGATGCGAATAAATGATAACATTATTCGTCGTTGCTTATAGTTATTATGATATCTGTAGATATTTTGTAATGGTAAAAGAAAATAAATTTCAGTTGAGAATTATTTTTTAGACTACTTACCTAATAATTATATTTGTCGCATAAATCATAGCTGTAGAAAATCAAACATAAATAATATCCAAAAATCTAAAAAGGGGTAACTTTGAACCGATTTCAGAATGATATCTAATCATCAACTGACTAACAAAATAACCGTTGAAACGTTTCTAAAAAAAAAAAAATACACTTTGTACTTAATCGAAACTAAAAAAATTAGCATTTATGTGACAACATTTTTATAAAATTTTTGGGTTGTTTAGAGATATCTTGCACGTGACACTGTTAGATGTTGTAATTATGAAAAAATTATTTTTGGTTAATTTTCAGTATAAGTAATTTATTCACTACAAAATATTCAAAGTAAACGACGCGTCAAACTTCCTATAAGTTATAACGAAATACTTGACTGTGATGTTTTATTCCAAGAGGAAAATGTTTCCCCAGAGGAAAACTGCTTTTTTGACGAAAACTTCGAGTGTTGTAAGTTTAAACCATTCACTAAAAATTATTATCGTTAACTTTCGGGGGGGGGGGGGTGGACGCCGGGGAATTGATATTTTATTCAATTTGAAAAAAGCCACGTTATGTGGAAACCGTCTAAAATTACAAAAAGTCCACGTCGACACTAGACTTTTGGAGTTCGTACAGAGTTGACTGTGATAATGTTTTATTTCAAGATTTCTGCGCTTCACACCTTTTAATGGGTATAGTCACAAAAGTTAAATTGGATTTGCCGCCGCAGGACGTGATGTACATTACAGAGAGACATTTTGTGTCTTATTGTGTGCCACGTTTCCGTTACAAAAGACTCGTGTCAGAAATGGCAATTGAAAAATAATAAGAATTTTTATACATTTACACTCACCGCAGGTACTACTGCTGTATAATATGATGTAGGTGGTACGTTATACAATAACAACGCCGCGTCCTCTGGGATACCTTTGATAACATATTATACATGAAATTCTACTTGATTTTTTTGTTTTATATTTTCAAACGACACAGTCCGTTAGTTTTCCTCCACTGTACAACTAGTATTACTCTTGCGTTTGAAAACCTTATATTTTTACGGGAAAAAAAATTAGATCTCTAAATCGTAGGCACAGATTTATACAATAAAGTGGATTGCTAATTAGTGATAATTTATCACTGATAAGAACACAAGTCGACGTCCGCCATTTTTGTGGGATTTATGTGTGTATAAAATAATAGATATAATATGCGGTGTTTTATAGTTGATTGAAATAAAACATATAAGAAAACTTAATCATTATGAATTTAGTAACTTAACACATGAAACTTAGTCGTTACGATTGTTATAAAATAAAAAAAATTGTTAACCTTTAAACTGATAAGCGATAACACAGATATTACAGAGTGTTCAAAAACCGCCATATTTGTGGGAATTAGAACCTTATCACATGTTTGCAGCTGTTATCACTGTTTATAAAAATTACTAGCACAGATATGGATCATTTTTATAAAAATATTTAACGTGCGAAAATGTATTTTTAACTTAATATTATAATTACTTAAATAATTTCTAAGCCCATCTCGATTGTCACAAAACACTTGTGAGGCATAATAGAAAATTAAAAAAAATTTAATATTCTGAATTCCTATATATTCCTAATATCACAATATTTGTTTAGTATTTATCTGATAAAAGATAAAATTCATTGGCCTCATTTTAAACGGCGGACGGATGACTACACGTTTTATCAGTAATAAGCAATCTAGTTTATTTTTTTAAATTTAATTTTACGATACGGGCGTTAGCCCAAAACACAATATTTAACAGTTTACCGTCGAACAAAAAACTTAAGTATTATTTATGTTTACAAATAAAATATATAACATGCAATAATATTTCACAAAATAATGATTAAAAACAAGTACATAATTGATATCTTTATTAGTTTATTATAATTAGATAGTTTATTATCTATATTTGTGATAAATATATATTTGTATATATCTATAATTCTGTGTTATCAACTTGTGATAACGTTCTAATTCCCACAAAGATGGCGGAAAATGGTAACTTTTTAATTTTCTTTAACGTTAAGTCAATTTATGTTTTTTGCAAAGAGAAAATTATCTAGTCGCGCACAGAGTAATATCATAATAGTATGTATATATATTATATTATACCTAATATAATTTAATACTTTTTATAGTAATAGCCAATTTGCATAGACAATATAAATACACATTAATTGTTTAACAAATTGCCGTTTGCTGATTATTTATTATGTTTTTTTTTTTGGAAAGACCGCGGTGTTGGTTAATTACTTTTTCTTTTTTACCTGACAGCTGTTTGAATGCATCAACCTATATGATATTATGTTGTTAAATCTTACATTGACTTTCATACGACTAATTAATTATTTATTATTATACTTAATTATTATATCGTCTGAGCTGAGAAGTTCTTGTGCGTTAAGTTATTTGTTTGCTATGTAATAACTAAATTGATTTACACACAAGAAGTATACTCAATCTTAAATTAACCTCAGTCACATGTTATCATTACAATAAATTACAATTATTTTTTTTAACATTTAATTGAACTTGTTTCTTTGATGTTACGTTTTCCAACATAATAACGATAGAGCTATGTACATAACGCTATTATAAGTATATTATTATGTTGTGTACAGTGATTTTATGGATTAAGCACACACACATACCTATAGAGAAAAATAACTGGTTTATATTTGCATCAACTGGTCTCGTGGGTTGTTGTAAGATATTATTTATTTTCTCCAAATGTAACAGTACTCGATAATAAAACGTATTTGCTTTTTAATTTCACTTTTTATTTTGTACATACTGTATTCAATAAAGTATAATATTTGTTTGGCACCCATTTGTTTGTTTACTATGAGATAGAATCTCATGCTAGCATCATAAATAAATTTTCCCAGAATGTTTTAATAGACATCATCTCTCAAAAAAATCTCTAGTCTGTATTTATAAGAAATACCAAAAAAAGCGCTTTATAATGGCCATAGATAAAATTGCTTATCTCAGTGTATTTTTTTTCTATGTATTTTTTCGTTTTCTATTTGTTCGATAAACTTTGACTGTCAGTAAAAAAAAAAGATTATTTGGAGTTCCAAACTTT